GGTAATTGCTGAAAGGCCAGGGAGTGGAGAGTGAAGGGCAGCTGTCTCTAGGAACATGCCAGCCCACAGGTCACATCACAGCTCTTGATGCGTGCCTGTTTGAGTCTCTAATCCATGAGATAAAAGCCAGGCTGTTGGAAACCTTCCATGGGACTTTTGCCACCGAGGCCCTCCTACCCTGCAGGGAAACCAAGAGGTTTTTCCAATGGGCTCGTCCAAGCCCAGGTTTAATAGTTCTCCAAGATGACTTCACACACTATCAGGAATGATATAATGGAGCAGTTAGTTACATCATCTCAGAGACAGACCAGGGTTTGAATCTCAGTTCAAGAGTTTACTTTCTGCGTTGGAGGCCAGGATGGCAGCAAGTGTTAGACGCATGGGTTCAGACCAGACCTGGGTTCAGCAATCTCAGTACCTGAGTTCTGGCTAAGAAAGAATTCAGAGCCAAGACTCAAAATATAAGCAAAAACTTAATAAGAAAGTCACAAAGTTAGAAGAAGTGAGCTGTAGAGGAAATGGGCTCAGGAGACAAGTTACAGAGACAAAAGAAGGGCTCTTGAAGCTTGGGAAACAAAGAAAAAGGTAAAGCACCTGGAAAGGCTGGCTCCTCCAAGAGGAACAGCTCGCTGGGTCCTCTGTCCTAAGGGCTTTTAAGGGTGGAATTGTCAGGGGAGATCCCAGGGAAGGATCTCAATAGAATATTCATCATCTTTCCAGGTGGATCTTTTCAGAGTCCTGGTCTCCATGATTGGATGGCACCAGGCAGGGGGTAATTAGCCAATGCAGCTGGCCCTGTGGTCCGCCCTGGCATCACTTCCCTGGTTTTGCTACTTTTCTGGGCCTGGAGCTGAAACCCAACCAAGGCCTAGATGTATATGACGTTGGTCAGAACCTCATTGTCCTGGGGGCTTCATGCTTAAGGGCTATTCCCCACCCCCATCCTCTTTCCCCCTCTAGGGGTAGCTAACCCACATGACTAGCAACATGCCATGGGAGGAAAGGTCAGGGGAGGGCCCGAACCATCTGACCAGGGCTGTGAAAGGTCAAGGGGTCTAAACTGCCTGACCAGCTAGGGGAGGAAAAGTTACCCTGGGGGCAAGGTCCTTGTTTTCCCAGTTTTGCTTGATGCCAGGCACATAGGACTTTCCTTCTTGGTGACCTTCTGTTCCTGGCCTATCTTCCTTTCTTTGCTCATGTCTGTCTAACTGCCTACCACATCTGTATGACATTTAACAAGTACCTGTCTGAGCCTCAGTTCTCCCACCTCCAAAATGGGCCAATGGTATCTACTGCATAGGTGATTGTTTGGGAGCTGTGCACTGTGCAACCACAGGGGGCGCTATAACGGAAGTGGCATCAGTAGGAGTTGTGTAACACAGCAATGCTGGTTCTTGTGTTAGGCATAATGATGCATGTAAAGAATTCAGCGTGGTGTCTGGGATCATGTTTAAGAATGGGACCTAGTGTTATTCTTTCAGGCACTCAGCTATCATTTGCTGTTGTGCTATTTTGAAACTTGCTTCTAAGAAGGAAAATAGTATGGGGCACAGAAAACACAACATTCAAAGACCTGGCAGCAAGAAAGTGTTTTCATGTTCAGCAAATGAGACTTTCCATATTCTAGAACTCAGAGGCTATATCCTAAATGATCTGAACAGCCTATTGAGGGGCTTGGGTTTGTCTTCAGGGCAATAGGCAAGCAATGAAGAGCTTTAAGGGCAGCGAGAGAGTCAGACCTGCACGTTAGGAAGTTCATTTTGGCTGAAATGGGAAGAATGTGATGATGAGATTTGGCGGCAGTTTGAAGGCAGTGGTTAACCATGGTCTCAGAGGCAGGCCCAGGTGTGAATCTCTGTTCGGTGTTTATTCCCTCTCTTCTGTATCACTCTCTGAGCAGGCGCTCACCCTTCCTGATCCTTACAGGCTCCCAGTACACGTTGCTTGCAAATCTTCCAAAAGGGTCACTGCCAGACTGTCTTTCTCCTTTTTAAACTTGAGATCTCTACTGTATCATTTTTATACCTGCCAGGCATTGGGGTCATTTATGAAACAGATTTTTTTTATAATGGTCAAAAGCTGGTCTTTTTGTTTCCACCTTTGTCTCTATAGTCTTTCTCCATGAACAGCAGAGAGAGAACCTTTTTAAAAGGAAAGTCAGCTCATATTATACCTGTGGTCAGAACCTCCCTGCGATTCCCATCTTCCTCACAGTCAAAGTCAGCCCCTTACAGTGGCCTCAGTGCCCCTAATGGTCCATCCCCACTGAGCTCCCATCCCTGAGCACTGAGCCCTGAGCCCTGAGCCCTTGGCTCATCGCCCTCTCGTCACACTGGTTTCTCTGTGGTTCCTTACACTATGTGAAGCACAGTTCCATTCATCAGGGTCTTGGCACTTACCTGGAATTCTCTTCTTGCAGATATGCATCCACAAGGCTTGGTCCCTTGCTTCCTTCAGGAATTTGCTCAAATGCTCCCTTATCAGAAAGACTTTCTTCACCATCCAGTATAAGTCATTCATGCCATATGTGTGTACACACACACACACACTCCTCTCCCCTTATATTCTCCTCACTCCACTACAGCATTTTCCCCACCTGACATTTGCATTTATTTGTTTGTTTCCTTCCACTGGACTGTAAGGTCTGTGAAGACAGATACTTTTTTTTAAATTCATTGACCAATTCTTGGGACCTAGAAGAAAGTCTAGCAGGTCATTCTGAAGTACCTATTAGGTGGCACAGATAAATATTTGTGGAATAAAATGGCTGTGTAAGGGAGTTAGAACTAGACCTTCTACTACTGTTGGAGCTGGTTCAATGTCACCTTGTTTTAAGAGATCCTACAACCCACTCAAGCCCTATCATGTCTGAACAAGCAGTCACAGTGACCATGAACTTTTGCATATTCTGAACATATGCTTCTATTTTTCTGCCTTTTACTTAGAAGAATTCTACCACCACAACCCTCTGTTGTGTCTTCTTTAGTGTGGAAAGATGTCAGAGTTTCTCCCCCTACAGTGATGAGCTACGGGGGCTTTAAGTGATGGCAGGTGGGCTCTCTGAAGGTCTGCAAGGATGTGCTGGACCCTGGGGCAGTTTCAAGTGTAAGCCATCAGCAGCTAACTAGCATGGGCCAGAAAAGGCAGGTGAATGTGTGTGTGTGTGTGTGTGTGTGTGTGTGTGTGTGTGTTGGGGGGGGGGTTGGGGGGGTGGGCGGAACTCGGATAGCCTGAGGCCATGAAAGGCTCTAATCCGGCTCCACTTCGAACTTTTTATTAGGCCACAAGGCTGTGTTCTGACTCAGGCCCCCTTCCTGTCACCACTTTGCCTGCTGTTATAACTGACCTTCTAGACCAGGGGTCCTCAAACTACAGCCCGCGGGACACATTCAAATACAAATATTGTATTTGTTCCCATTTTGTTTTTCTACTTCAAAATAAGATATGTGCAGTGTGCATAGGAATTTGTTCATAGTTTTTTTTAAAACTATAGTCCGGCCCTCCAACAGTCTGAGGGACAGTGAACTGGCCCCCTGTTTAAAAAGTTTGAGGACCCCTGTTCTAGACCAAAGTTACCCTGACTTGGAGCAGACCCTCCTCTATCCCACTGAGCCCTGGAGGCAGAGGTGATGTAAGGTGCCTAAACTGCTGGGTGAATGTAGAGCCATGGTGGCTCAGTCCACCACTTTACTTTGCTTTCCAAGTTCTGTGCTGCTCAGTGACTCTGTTGCCATAACCCTAATTGCCTGCAGCCCTTCATCATATGTCACTTTGTGGTCACTGTCATCCTGCCACATGAGCTCATTTAGATGGAATTATCACTCCTGTACTTTTTGGTCACTTGAACCCTCTATAGAACTAAGATGTGTTTTAGAAGGATCGTGGAAAGTATGACATCAACACCGAGAAGGAACACTTTATGGCTGGTAATGCTGATTTCACAGCCTGCCAGGCTAGAGTCTTACACACACCACCAATCTTGGGCCTGCTTGTCTCCCTTTCCTGTTGCGGACAGCCTGCGGAGGAGCTAGCCAGATCCGTATGCAGATGTGAAGAGTTGTGCTTGTAGAACCCGCTGGCCAGCTGCTAATGCATCAGGAGACCTGGGCTTGCTGAAAATTAGGAGGAAATGTGCTCTCATCAAACATGCTTTTAAAAACTGTACTCAATGTGTGGAAATATTGCATTACAGCAGAATTTTCCCCCTCAAGTACGAATAACACAGAGCTTTGATTGCAGGCAAGCGTGAAGATGTCTCTGTGTTTCCAAGTGCGAGGTGTACTCCAGAGTTTAAGATGATCACCAGGCCCTGTTTGGTTGGATTTTTAAAGTCCGAACTTCAAACCATCATTTTTTTTTGGCTTTTTCTTAGAGTTATTTAGGTTTATAAAATTAGCAAAATCTTTTAAAGCAGTTTCTACCCCCACTTTACAAAGGATTGGAAAAACATCAAATAATATTAATGGAAGGAGAGATGACTTAAGAGGTAACATTCCTGACCCTAATCTCCTCATCCATGACACCTCAGGACCTCCACTAAAGCATCAATCTTAATAAGGTGATTTTGGCAATGAGACATTTTCTGGAAAGTGATTGTACTAACCAAAATTTAAAAGAACATGTGCTTTAGCAACAAGGAGAAAATTATTTAATGCTTAAAAAGTTTTTGGTGTTTTTCTAATTGGCTGTTATCATGCATAAATATGCATACAGCAATGCAAGGCTATAATCGAACTGTTCTTTTCCATTAAGACAATTGTGTACATTGTTCAGTGAATGAGGACTGCATGTAGAAAATCCACAAGCAGAGACAGTGAGTTGTAGACTTTACTTAATCCCCGATGGGTTCTTAGAATAATGATTCACCATAGATGGTGGGATGGTAAGGTATGAGCAAATCATTGGTAAGATTAATAAAAATAAGTAATTAGTCATGCTTTGGATCTGGCTCTAACGATGTGATTCGTTTTCCTACCCAACCCCCATCTTATTTCTACCAGTAGGTTGGGACAGCTGGAAGTCAGCCGTTGTACAACATGCTGCGAGTAAGTCTCTCACCCACCTTTTCACTGGGATTTCATCTGTTAGTCATCGTGGCTGTCTTATTTTCCCATGTGGACCATATAAGTGCCGAGACAGAAATGGAAGAAGAAGGCAATAAAACTAACCAGTGTACTGGCTCATATTACTGTAAGAAAGGGGTGATTTTACCCATTTGGGAGCCCCAAGACCCTTCCTTTGGGGACAAAATTGCTAGAGCGACTGTGTATTTTGTGGCCATGGTCTACATGTTTCTCGGAGTCTCTATCATTGCCGACCGGTTCATGTCCTCTATAGAAGTCATCACGTCTCAAGAAAAGGAAATAACCATCAAGAAGCCAAATGGAGAGACCACCAAGACAACGGTGAGGATCTGGAACGAGACGGTTTCCAACCTGACCTTGATGGCCCTGGGGTCTTCTGCCCCAGAGATTCTCCTTTCAGTCATTGAAGTGTGCGGCCATAACTTCACCGCGGGAGACCTGGGTCCCAGCACCATCGTGGGAAGTGCTGCATTCAACATGTTCATCATCATCGCTCTCTGTGTTTACGTGGTCCCAGATGGAGAGACGAGGAAGATTAAGCACCTGCGTGTGTTCTTCGTGACGGCAGCCTGGAGCATCTTTGCCTATACCTGGCTTTACATCATTCTGTCCGTCATCTCTCCCGGGGTGGTGGAGGTCTGGGAAGGTTTGCTTACTTTCTTCTTCTTCCCCATCTGCGTGGTGTTTGCTTGGGTGGCAGATAGGAGGCTTCTGTTCTACAAGTATGTCTACAAGCGGTATCGGGCCGGCAAGCAGAGGGGAATGATTATTGAACACGAAGGAGACAGGCCATCCTCCAAGACTGAAATCGAAATGGATGGGAAAGTGGTCAATTCCCATGTTGACAACTTCTTAGATGGGGCTCTGGTTCTGGAGGTTGATGAGAGGGACCAGGACGACGAAGAGGCTAGGCGAGAAATGGCGAGGATTCTGAAGGAGCTCAAGCAGAAGCATCCAGATAAAGAAATAGAGCAATTAATAGAATTAGCTAACTACCAGGTCCTAAGTCAGCAGCAAAAAAGCCGAGCCTTTTACCGTATTCAGGCTACTCGCCTGATGACTGGGGCGGGCAACATTTTGAAGAGGCACGCAGCGGACCAAGCAAGGAAGGCTGTCAGCATGCACGAGGTCAACACGGAAGTGGCTGAAACGGACCCTGTCAGTAAGATCTTCTTTGAGCAAGGGACATACCAGTGTCTGGAGAACTGCGGCACCGTGGCCCTGACCATTATCCGCAGAGGTGGCGATCTGACCAACACTGTGTTTGTTGACTTCCGAACCGAGGATGGCACAGCCAACGCGGGGTCTGATTATGAATTCACTGAAGGGACTGTGGTCTTTAAGCCGGGCGAGACCCAGAAGGAGATCAGAGTTGGCATCATCGATGACGACATCTTTGAGGAGGATGAGAATTTCCTCGTGCATCTCAGCAATGTCAAAGTGTCTTCGGAAGCTTCAGAAGATGGCATACTGGAAGCCAATCACGTTTCTACACTCGCGTGCCTTGGCTCTCCCTCTACGGCCACCGTGACTATCTTTGATGATGACCACGCGGGCATCTTTACTTTTGAGGAGCCCGTGACTCATGTGAGTGAGAGCGTTGGCATCATGGAGGTGAAAGTGTTGAGAACATCTGGAGCTCGAGGAAATGTCATCGTCCCCTATAAAACCATCGAAGGGACCGCCAGAGGTGGAGGAGAAGACTTTGAGGACACCTGTGGAGAGCTCGAATTCCAGAACGATGAAATTGTGTAAGTCCCTTTTTATATATGTACATGTGTGTTGAGTGTGTTTGTGGATGTGAGAATGCGTGCATGTCCTTTTAAATTAAATGGCATACAAGGAATGGAATGGTTACTATACCAGACCACTTTCAAATCTCAACCCTCCCTCGCATACCATCAATATACTCTGTACACAGAGATCTTAATTTGATTTGATTTTTACTTTTGCACTTTTAGATATTTTAAGTACAACATAGATCATGATAAAATAAGTCTTGTGACACAGTTTATCAAAGCACTTACGATATGTTGAAAATTTGTGTTCTGTTTTGAATCACATAATATACACACAGTAAGGGAATATTTAAATCATTACATCAGGTCCCTAACTTCACTGCTGAGTACTAATTGGGAAAATCCAAAGAACAGATACCTCTGAAAAGAATTTCCTGGCTACCAGGGCTGTCTGGAGCAATTTATGCTGCTTTTACCTGACACTGTGGTTTTGTGACAATGTAAGATGATGTTTTGCTTAAATGTTAAGACTTAATTATAACTTAATGACCAATCCTGCTTTTTCAGTTTTATGCCAACATGGAAAAAGTCATATAGCTCTTATTTCATTCCAGTCTCATTTTACTTTGCATGATGCAACAAACCCTTTACCCTACTGATGTAGTGATGGGGAAAGAAATCAGTTTCTATCCTAGCATCCTAATTGACAAGGCGCAGGTCAGAGAAGTGGACAACAATTTATTCTTCCTTTTGCCACGTTACAGTGACACTTGCCAACATTGTAACATGTCGTGCCTGGCTGTGTCCTGAATTTTCCATTGACAGTTGCTATTTAGAGAGCTATCCCTCCTTCCTTGCCTAGGAGGGGGCATCACACTCATCAAAAGCAAACCAGGAAGTCTGACTCAACGAGCAACGTCCAAACTGGAAAGAAGGAAGAAAGGAAACTGTGTAAAATAGATTTGATGCAACAAAGGACAATAATAGGAATTATTATGTTGGTTGAGTCATTGCCAACTTAGAAATTTCAGGAAAAAAATAGTTTGTTCTATAAATCAAGCATGTCAAACTCGTGGTCCACGGGCCACATGTGGCCCACAACGAATATTTTTGCGGCCCAGCCAATATAATAGTGTGAGCAGTTATTTACAAGTATGAAAGGAAATAAGTCTCCTGTCAGATCCAGAATTACTGACATTCACCTTGGGTCAGTTTTGAAAGTAATCACTGCGAATAAAATTTCCCCCGAAGTAGGAAAGATAGTAGCAGAGAAGAGATGCCAAGTGTCAGGAAGAAAACACTAATTTTATCATTGCTCTTGTACTTTTTTTAATACTATACTTTTCGAAATAAACCTACATTTCTATGAAAATTGGAGCTTTTGTTTTTTTGTGGCCCACATAAGCTTAAACCTTGTTTATTTGGCCCATGTTAGCCTTTGAGTTTGACATGCTTGCTCTAAATGGTTAACTCTTGTGTAAAGGGCATATATATGTCAAGTGGCAAGTACATTCTTTCCAAGTTGAAACTTCTCCTGCTGTAAGTGTAGAGAAAACAAACATAGAAGTGGGGGGCAGGGGGAGAGAGGTGGGCAGAAGGAGCAGATATTTTTGAGTCTTCCAATGGCTTTGACACTGTATTATAGACATGAACAATTACTGATATCTCAATGAAATCAAGCAAAACAGAGATTATAATATCTATCTTTGGATGTGTGTGAGGGGATAGCTTTTGATGACTATCTGTTTTATGTTGGTTCTTATAATGTTAATGTTTCACTTAGTAAGATGTATTTTGTTAGGACAGGTGTTTCATTAAAAGATAATAAGTAGTGTAGTACCAAATGAATAGCCTGCATACCCAGGACGGATTTTCCCAAAGGCCTCGTGTGGAATGTGATCCTGCCCAGGTTAGCATACAAGCTCTATTCCTTTGCTAGGAATTCTTTCTCATTATATTTTCTAATCATTTCAGTTATTGAATCCTCTTGTAATAGATAGCACTTGTAGGCCACGTAAAAGTGCATTGCTTATTATTAAAGGAGTATTGCATGTTACTAAATGAACTCACAAGGGTAGCCCTTAAATATGTCCAAATTGGTATTTTGTTTATTCATTTTACTTAGGATGTTTTCTCATGAAAAATTGGTCTTGCTTTCTCTTAATAATGGCTCTGTACTTGTTTATTTGAGAGGCTTTTCCTATCTACTCTGCTATCCAGGACTTTTACCAAACCATAAATAAATAACCTTCTTCTGTGCACAGTGTAGAATCAGAAGGGGCCGGGGGCGGGGAGAGACTGAGTGATTGATGGAATAATTTTCTATTCTGCCAGCTCCATGTAAAACACTCACCCTATGCCATTAGATTGATTGAATTCTTGCGAAGGAGGGAGTATTGCCAAACTCCAGCTTTAGAAATTTACATATCTTGTGAAAAGTAGTAAGAATTGGAATTATCAGTATGGCATCTCTGTATACATGTTCTTAGGACTATTCTAGACCACTCGCCAGTTCCTAGTTTTAAAATCTCTTGCTGAATTTTATTCGCTAAGTGGAAATATGAAGTTTTAGAAATGGCAAAACATTTTTATTTATAAGTGGAATAAAATTACATCCCTATATATTTTTCTTTTTCTAGAATTTTTATTTTTACCTTATAGAGTTTTATGACTGATGAATAACTTGGTAGATGCTTAATAGGTCTGTTGTTTAAATCAATTTGTTTGGATGACCAAGACTTAGCCTTAAAATAGGCACCAAGGGTTCAAACAGAATGTTTCTAGAAAAACGTAATATTATCAATGGTCCCTCATTGTATGCTTTTTATGGATCTTTTATTTCTGGTAGTTGCTTCCAATGTCAGGTCCACACAGTCAGATCCAAATGAGAGAGTTTTGTCCTCATACAGTGAAATTGAACTATAAAGAATCACAGTTTATCTTTAAGAATGAATTCTTATCTCCTCCAATTAATTACACAGTTAATCTCAAAAGATTACTTTCTTAAAAACCTACAATGCATAAATGGGACTGTTGACACCACTCAGTTTCATTAAATACTTCAAAAAAATTTTTGTTTGTTTGTTTAATGCTATGCACAAAGCCAGAACTTAAGATTCTTTCCAGAGTACCATAGCATGATTCCTGGAAATGCCTGGATTTAAAGTCTATCTAATTTTAAGAAGCCATTAACCAAGACAGAAATAGGATCCAGTCTAATCAGGGATGGAGATAAAGAGGCAGTCAGCTTTATTGAATCTTGAGTCTTGGGAACAAAATAGATTCCTAATCTTTGATCTTATTTTTAGTACAGAAATCATTTAAATTTATAAGTATGTCTATGCCTATTAATTTGTATTTTTATATAAATGAGTTGAATTATTTCAATCTGATCTTTTTAAGATCAAAGTCTATATTTGAGAAAAATACTGATAAGTGATAAGTGGTGCCTGTGGTCTCTAATAAAATGCATTCTTGGCAAAACATTTTAAAATTACAATGGAAAAACCCATTAAATAGATATAATTAGCAGCACATGCAGTTGTATAAACTCAAGCAATGACAAATACTAAACCCATGCCAGCTAATCTTGACTTTCAACAGGGAATTCTGTCTAATGTTAACAGCTAATAAAAAAATAAACGAAGAATATGCTAATTTGATTTGTGGTTTGGTAGGTGATATCCACAAAGTTGGCATGCTACTATGGTTGTTTTTTAATGATGCTATTTTAGTGGTAATGATAATTATAAAATGTTGCTTGGTCTTCCAATATCTAACTTAGCTTCACTATTGCAGAAAATGTTAAGGTTAATTAATTAATATAGAGACAAGTCAAATTTAATTACAGTACTTAGCTATAGCTCAGCATTAATATCATATTTGGAAGACAACTCAAAAAGATCATCAGCATTTAATATTATATATTTTAAATGTAGAGTTAAAAAACAAAGTATGTAGGTTGGAAAATTTATATAATATATTGTTTAGCAAATCAGTTTACTGGGCATTTCAGACACAGCATATTCATTATGCAATGGCTCTGTCCCAAATTAAGTTTGTTTTAACAGCTATTACATTTTCAAGTATGATTATAACTTCATTAATTAGGAAATACAATACACAGGACAACAAATATAGCTACTTGACACTAAACATTTACATGGGGGGGGGGGAGATAGAATGAAGTAAAATTTTATTATTATATAGATTTTATGAAATTATTATATTCCAGGGAAAATAAATATTTTGCTTTTGCTGTTTATATTACCAGTATCCTTTTGCTTTATAGAATTTGAAGGAATAAATGCCTCACTAGAGGAGAGAGTAATTCAATTCTGAGAGTAGCCAAATATGTAATACAAAAAGGCAGCCAGCTGTAAAAATAAATAAATAAATAAAAGAAATAAAAATATTAAGAAAATTTGAAGTGATCAGAAGAATAATTATGTGTGTTTGGGGAATCAGAGATGATGAAAATTACTAGAGAAAATAACATTAGACAAGAAAGGCTGTTAGCACATATTATCTTGAGTCTAACATAGTGAATATTTACTTTATGGAAGAAGAATTTAATCAACTACATTTAGCCTAGGAAAACTTAACCTACTTAACTAAACTAAAAAATAAATATTTTACATTGACATAAAACTTTACTGGGTAATATGCTAATTAAGAAATTTACATGGAATAATTCTAGGATTTTAATGGATTTTTTGGATTATCTTTTCAGAAGGAAATATGGCTTCTTAGAACCAAACCACATGTAGTATTATCTGCAAATCTAAATTATAACTACAAGAAATGTTTTTATAGATGCATGTGCTTTCATGAATGACAGGGTAAAAGTAAAAAAAACACACACACATTTATGACTTTGAATTCACTACTGCCAGAAGCCTTAAGTGATTATGTGCATAAGGGTTGTTTACCATGGCAACCGGATTGCCATGCTTGCTCTTGTAATCTCATTTCCCACTGCTAATTAGAGTGTGGGCTTATAATAGAGTTAT